ACTCTCACAGAGAAGAGCACCTGGAGGAAAAGTATGCCTATTTTTGCTTATATATTTGCAGACCCTCCAGGGGTCCCTATTTTCCAAGGGCATCTCTGATTTAGAGAAGCCATCCCAGTCTCTGATTTGACCCCGGAATGTCCCACTTTTCCTTAGGTTGTCCCTATTTTCAGTGGAGAAATGTTGGAGGGTATGGAGTTATCCAACCCCTGAGCTGTCTGAAGGCAATCCTGTATAGGGAAGTGTTGTTTTTTTTAAAAAAAGTTTAATGTTTCCTTATGCTTTTATATATAGATTGGAAGCTGCTCAGAGTGTCTGGGGCAACACAGCAAGATGTGTGAGGTGTAAATAGTAAAATTATCATTATGGAATAGGATGTCTCTATTTTCATTGGAGAAATGTTGGAGGGTACGTGTTTGGTGCATGTTAGCAGTCCAATCGCTTTGCAGCACCAACAAAGTATGGCTGTTCATTCATTTGAAAAAGATAGCAATGGATGGTGTCAGCATTTGATGAGTTGCGCGGTAAATGGAAATTACATTATTTCCTTTTCGGTTAATCTGAAATCTGGGTGTTGCTGTTTTTAAGCACTGAAGAGATTGATTAATCACACTGAGAAATAGTTCCAGTTCTAGAAATCTCTGTGTGATGTGTATGCAGCCATAGCTTAGACGGGAATTACTATAAAAGATTCCTTCTACGTGCTGTTCTGTCCTTATTAATACTTGCCCACCAGTCCAGCACGTCTCTAACTCCAGGGCTCTGGGCAGTTCCAATAAGCAAAACATAACCATAAACTAAAAGTGTGACATATAAACAGGATGATAAATAAACCCAAAATGCTGCAACAAAATTAATATCCCAAGAAGCACCTCCTCTCATCCCCCTTAGCAATACAAGCTCGACTTCAATAAAATGCTAACACTTCAGAGAAAGACTATTTACAGAACTGCTGTAGAGGGGCGGGGAAAAACAGCTTTGAAAGAGTATTCAGATGTATTTTAATAACGGCTTTGCAGCATATGATGGAAGGATATTTACACTCACACCAGTCGTTAGGGAATTGTAGAGGCACAAACGTGGCTTCTTTTAAAAATAGATCTGACAGGTTAGCTTCGGAATTCAAGACACAAGCTAAGTATGGGTGGTCACATTCACACAACCTTTTCAAACATGGGGGTGACTATATGGTCACTGTGAAATGAAGATTTGGTGAATTATCTAAGAGGGTTTTAAATCTTCACACACACACACCCCTTTCCATTTCATAGGAAGAGTAATGTTTGCTTTGTTCCTCTGGACCCATCTGCTAATCACGAATTCTGGGAAATCAACATGTTAAATATTGGGGGGGATTCTGCCATGATGACAGACTTTTGTAAGTGTATGTGCCAAAGCTATGCTATTATCGCCTGGCTCAACATACATTTTGGAGATTTTCCAGGATCTTGCGAGCAGCTTGACAAATAATAGTGTGTTAAGAAGACTAAAACATCATCACCAAAGAACAAGAGGGGGGAAAGCCAAAGTGCATGTTTTATGCCTTTTTTGACATGGATTCGTTTCCATGTAGAAAAGGATAATTTGCCAAGAACAATTTAGAAAGAGACGCGCCTGATAAGAATTACATTGGACTCCCCCCCTTCCCCCCTTTTGTGTTTTTTAGTGCAGGAATGGGGAACTACTTGAGCCTCCAGAAATTGCTATACTACAACTCCCATCATTCCCATTGGCTGGGGCTGATGGGAGCTGTGGTCCAATATCTGGAGGGTCACAAGTTTCCTACCCCTGAACTACAGAATGAATGAGTAAATAGGAGCATGATGTATCCTTAAGAGAGTCCTTACCATTCTCTGTACCCAGGCACACTCCCAGGGAAGTCACTAAAATGAACAGCTTACCTAGACACCCAAATGCCCCAGCTTTGATGCTGGTGTTAAACCCAGAACTGAATAGTCCAATGGATAATTAGCAGGCACCACCTACTCAATACAGAGCAGTAGGAGCCTATAGTAAAGCCCAAGACCCAGCCTCTGTTAGTCTTTGCTTGTGAAATTGACACAGTGGCCTACACTGCATCCAGATGTTGACAGGGATGAAACAAGGTTCGCAAAGGTCAACCTTGGTTGCTCATTTAGGAAGGGTGAGGAATGGATGCAGGAAAGGCCACTAAGTTATTGAGGTGCAACAGAGGGTCATCTTAAATATTTTATCAATTTTCTACCATTTAACCCTAAGCTTCCCTACTCTCTATGACAAAGAGATTTTTTTTTTGTCCAATGCAAAGAGCTGGTAGAGCACCCCCAATCCAAACCACAGCAGGGAGATTGAAACTACCTTATTTCCACTGCAGGATCCTGATCCGTCCTACCCCTGTGATTTACAGCTGTCCATGCAATTGCTAATGGCCTGAATAGCATTGCATCTCATTTGTTCCTAAGTTTAGCCTGGCTGTTGTACCAGCTGTGACTAATTGCATGATTGAGGCAGCTTTAGAAGGTGATAAACCATGTGAGTGGCTACAACTACTTCCACATAAGTGGATTGGTTGATGCAAAAATATATCCACATGGTGTTTTCCTTTGGCATCGAGTTTTCTTGGGCTGGTCATGCATGTTTTGCAACAGGAAAGTGTTGCTATCTGCCATGAAGCTTGTAGGTGAATGGGAGCCTGCTGGGATGGTGAGGTGCCAGTGAGTATGCTTCTTCCTCCTCCTTAGTGGCGGTTGTAGCAAAGTACGGTGGTTGTAGATGGTGCCTTGTTTGCTCTGCTTTGTGCATCCGGGCTGCAATTCTGGATGGTATAAGTGCTCATGAGCATTTGGCTAATGGTGGTTGAAGTGATGTGCCTGGCCTTTGCCCACCGAGACTTTGCCTCTGATGTGGAAATGATGGGTGCCTCCCCTGTGCTCCTTACCATTGAGAGCAAGAGTGTTAGAGCTTTGGCAAGTATATCGGGAATGTTTTGCCTGCATATCAATATGATACATCCCTCCAGCACAGCTAGGCTTTCCCCAAATCTTAAAGTCCCCAGGCAACATAATTCTGGGACTAGATCACATCCAAAATAACATATTTAAGGCTATCATGTAATGTTTTGTAGGACTTGGAAACTCAGTTCAGTTTCACCTTGAAAAAGAACCTCGTCTGGTTACTATAGTAGCATTTACACGCTGGTTGATTACACTCCAGTTTTCCAGGGAGAAAATTTATTGATGGTTCTCCCCACCCCATTTCTAATCTAAAATCATTCCATAAAGAGCTGCTTTATCAGCAATACTTAGCACTATTTGACTCTGAGCAACTGGATAATCTCTCTCTTTGCTTACAGTGTACTGATTAGCATTAACTCAAGATCAGCTGTGTATAGGAGGATTGTGTATGCTGGCAAGTGAATGCAGCGCTCCAAGGACTGTGTTTCTAGAGGGCAAGTTTGCATGTGTGCTTAATGTAGCATAGCTCCTATTCCTCCCCCCCCCACCCCCAAAATTGAGATGTTCATGGGCAAAGCATGTTACCATAATAATATGCTTTCAAGAGGATCATAAAATAATCTGTATTGGGACCAGGACTGTTAAATTGGTTCAAAAATTATCCGGTGTCACCAGCAATTAGTGAGGTAGCCAGGTCTGCAGATGACACAAAGCTATTCAAGGCTGCATAGAACTCCAAAGAGGATCTATTGAAGTTGTTGTTGTTTTAATTAAGGCAAATGAGGTTCTGTGTAAAGAAGTGTAAAGCAAAGCACGAAAAAAAGATTTCAAGCTTCATATATAGATAGATGGGATCTGAACTGGCAGCAACTAATCAGGAAAGAGATTTAGGGGTTACAGCAGAGAGCACAGTGAAAATGTCAACTGGTAGCAGTAAAAGGCCATGTTCCACGCTTACAGGTTATTAGGAGAAAGAGTGAAAATAACCCTGCCAGTATAAAAAAATGTACATATAAAAAATCATGGTGCCACCACCATTCGAATACTATATATACAGTTCTGGCCACATCATCTCAAAAATTATTTCATACCTTTGTGGGGGGAATACAGAAGGCAGCAGCTGAAAATGATCTAATCTAGAGCCTATGAAAAAGGTTAAAACATTTTATTGTTTTTAATTTTAGAAGAGAGGTAACTAAGGCAGAATATGGTAGATGTTTAAAATCCAGGTCACAGGAAGCTGGCACAGTTACAGGTGACACTCAGTACTTATCCTGCAGTTGTAATAAATTGATCTTTTAATGTATTTACACTCGGAACACCCTGCCTATTGACAATAGGCAGGTGCCTTTGCTGTAACTGCACTGCACCTTATTTCTGGCACCTGCTTAGATCATTTTTCCTTAGGCAAGCCTATCCAGACATGTAGATGTGCTTTAATCTCTTTTGATGTTCATTTTAATTATTTTTAAATGTTTTCAAATGCTTTTGATTATTTGAATATTATATTGTAAACCACTTAAAGGTTTCACTGCAATTAAGCGGTATTATAATTTTTGTTAAATAATATAATGAAATAAAAACACTTCCACTTTATTCTGCACTAGTTGGGGCTGCAGCTGGAGTACCAAGTCCAGTCCTGTATGCCACTTTATGAGAAGGACATTGGCAACCTGGAGCATGTTTAGGGGAAGGTGACCCCATTGTTGAGGGCCCAGGAGCCAAGTCTTAATAGGAATGGTTGAAAGAGCAAAGTTTTAGTGGAAAAAGGAGAACATTAAGGGGAGACACAAAACAGTCCTGGAATATCCTGGACAGAGCAGACTTTTTCTTGTTGCTCCAGAGGGCTAGACTATTATTGATTGAATGAGTGATTGGATCGCTTTAGCATACTCGGGAACCTAAAGTTGTGCATCTCTTTTGTAGGAAATGTGTACTTTTTGAGCATTCTGCAATTTCCATTTCCATTTTTTCTCCCAAGGAGCTCACGGTTCTCTCACTCCTCAGGTAATCCCTACAACAGCCCTGAGAGGCAGTGACTGGCCTAAGGTCACCCAGCAAACTTCTTGGGAGAGCAGGGATTTGAACCCTGGCCTCTCAAGTCCTAGTCCACACTCTAACCACTGCACCACACTGGCTTTAAATCTGTGGGTCAAAATTGCAGGCAAGGGAAAGTTCAGCAAAACTTTAGGAGGAAATCCTTAACAGAAAGACAGTGGAGCAAGCTGTCTCAGGATGTGGTGGGCTCTCCTTTGCTGGAGGTATTTACACAGAAGCTTGGCATCCCATCTATCAAGGATGCTGTATTGTATCCTGTACTGCAGATACTGCATTGAGCATTAGGTTGGATGGGATGATTCCTTCCAACTGTTACTGTAGATTGCATCCAACCAAGCTATACTCAGAGGAGACCAATTGAAATGAAGGGGCCTAAGTTAGTTATGTCCATTATTTCCAACAGTTCAACTCTGGGTGGGACTAATACTGGATAAAATCTTATGATTCTTCTACAGAAGCCTGTTGAAATGAACGGAAAGTTCCTGGAGCGTGGATTGCTCTTTCCATTTGTTTTTATAGCAATTGGACAGAATTGCTGATGGGTTTTATCACCAACACAGTAGCTCTTTGTTACAATAATAATTTTAATTCTACTGCTTAGAGCAATCGCACTGGAGAAAATTGCTGTGAATAACCACGTTTAGGCCACCTACCATGAAGCATCTTTTTTTTCTTGTTGTTCTTCGTAAAATTGGGGTGGTTTTTTGTTGTTGTTTATTTGCTCACAGATAATTTATGTCTTTGAAACAGATCAAATTACTTTTTATGGTTTAAGCTAGTATCTTTCTTTGCAAGCAAATATTATGGCAACCCCCCCCTTTCCAAGGATGACAGTGGCTGCCAGTACTTCAATCAGGTGAGCTGAATGTACAATAACCTTTTATAAGTTTATGAAAGCTCACAGGGTAACAAGTCAGATTGATTGCCACTTTTTCCTCCAAGGGTGTCAAAGTGGCGTACTTGGTTCTCCCCACCATATTTTACCTTCACAACAACCCTGTGAGTCAGGTTGGGCTGAGAGTTAGTGACTGGCACTAAGTCACCCATTCAACTTCATGGCTGAGTGAGCATTTGAACTCACCAGGTTACATGTTTCTAAGACTGTGAAAGTAAGGCCATCAGGTAGAAGACATTCTGTCCTGAAATGAACTATGAGAATCTTGAAGTCCCACGTATTTCACACACTGGATGCATTTTATTAAATGTAGCCTTCATTTAAAAAAACACCAGTGACACTTTCCTACAGTGCAAGGAACCTCAGCTAGGCCCTTGTAGATGCTGGAGTTTAAATAAAAACAAAGAGCTACACGTCACTGTGCATTCCATTGCCTTACCTGCGTGTCACAGTAAACCATGGTTAATACTTTACTATGACCACACCTTCTGATCTGCCTCACTCCCCCTCCTAGTACACAGTAGTAGAAACCAGAGGTGGATTTTGGGCTGTCCAAGCAGTGTGCATACATTGGGTGCAGAGCCGAGTGGTCGCCTTCTCAAAGCCCGGTAAGAAAAATGGTGGGAGGAGTCACAAGACTCTGATCTCTGACAAGGTCCTGGAGTCCACCAGCCTCCTTCCCAAAGCCCAGGCAGCACTTTCCCAGCTTTGGGAAGATGGTGGGATGGCTCTTGGACCCTGCCAGAGCCCTCATGCCTTCTTCCCTAAACCCGACGCTTCCTTACCCAGCTTTGGGAACACGGTGCAAGGACGGGGGGCGGTGCACCAAATTTTGGCCTCGCACAGGGCACCATAATACCAAAGTCCACCACTGAAGAAGCAAATGGCAATCCCTGGCTTAATGTTGCATCTGAACCAGGGGTTGTGGTTTTTTTCATTCCTGAAAAACAAGACAATGTTTTTTGGCAGTGAAACAAAGCCACAATCTTGGGGTTTTATGTAATGCTAAGCCAGGGATTGTGGTTTGATTCCTTTGCATGCTAGCAGGGAGGAGACAATGAAAAATACACTGTTCACAGTAAACTATTTACTATGTTTTATCACGACCATTAACTGTGGTTTGTCATGACGTGCGAACAAGGCCACAGTCGCCATTCTCTTATAACACCGTAAGGACAACCATGAAGTTGCATACAGAAGCTTTGTGCTTCAGCTTTTGGGACATCCCCCATGCAAATGTACAGATTTGTATATCCGAAGCTTGTACATTTCAGTCTAAATTTCTCTTCCAGCATTACAGGGAAAGTGCAAAAAAGCAGCAATCTAAAGCACTAATGTATCGACTTATCCATGCTTCTTGGAATACTTGATTTAATTTCAACAGCAACCAGGTAGAAGGAAGTAGTTAACTATGTATTACTACTGTACAACCTGGCCATAATATTAAAAAGCATTGAGCCTGCATACCTTTGCATGGAGGATTCCACTGTGGCTATGCACAATATAATTACACAGTACATGGACCAGAACTTTTTAAATATTGACCTGCAAAGTGGTGTGGCTACATGGATAAGTGTGCCTCCAGCCTCCATGTAGTGACCATCATATTTGAATTGTCCCTTAATTTATAAGACAAACCAAGCATGCTAAGTTGCTACTTAGCATGTTCAGATAGCACAGGAGCCAACTCCTAGGAGCCGAGGTCCCTTCAGCTCCCCCCATAAAATATTTGAGGGAGCTGGGACCTCCCAAAGTTGACGGGCGTTGCCATTCAAATGGTGTGCATGTGCTATATCACATGATCAGTTATGTGGGGTGGGGCTTTTACTTGGGCTCTCCCAATATTTTGTTCAAGTGGGCACCCCTGTCAGATAGTGCTCCTTAGTGCAATCAGTGGCTGTTATTCATCATTTGTGGTGCCTTCAGTGGTCCAGTGGAGAAAGTAGAGTTAGGAATTGTGATGTGGTGCTAGAGTAATTAGCAGCTTAGTCCTGTCATGTCTGCATAGAAGCAAGTTGTGTCAGGGGCAATGGAGTTTACTCTCAAGTAGATATAGGATAGCAGCCTGTTATTTCACCTTGTTTTTGAATGTCACTTGTACTTGTGGTAAGAACGCAAGCCTTCTGCTCTATCCTCCCATGGCACTTGGGCCAACAGGATCTGATTCTTTCCTGCCCTTAATGTTGCTCCAATCTCTAGATGTGCATAGGGGCTCAATCTGTCCACATTGCCCTCTGAACGGAATTGAGTTCAACAATGCTTTTTTCAGAGTAAGCATGCTTAGGATTCCATTGAAAATAGTGTTGTTTTTTGAATGAAACTTGGCTTGTGCAGCTTTACTCAGAAGAAACCCCCACGTCAATGCAGGGATGGAAGTCTATAGCATTATTGCCTTGGAATTGGCATGCTTGTTTTGAACATAATGAAGCTTTCTGGGGAAACAGAATCATGCCTATCAGATAGCTATGTTCCACCTTCACTGTCAAGAGGCATTATGACTCTGAATACCAGTTACTGGGATTGCAGGTGGACAGAGTGCTGTTGCATTTGTGTCCAACTCGTAGGCTTCCCATATGCATCTGGCCAGCCACTGGAAGAACTGGACTAGATGGATCATTGGCCTGATTCAGTAAGCTCATCTCATGTGCTTATGCCACTATTTTATTGTTGGCAGCAGCAAGGCACAGGACAGACCTCACCAACCTAGTGCACTCGAGATGTTTTGGACTACAGCTCCCATCAGTGCAAGGGTTGCCTAGGGCTGATGTGAGTTGCAGTCTAAAACTTCTGGAGAGCATCAGGTTGGTGAAGTGGGTGAATGTTAAGTGAAATAAGTGGATGCTGCACTAGATGGATTGTGGCCTTCCTTTTAATTGAAAATATCAGCTCTTTTTGTAAGCATATTCAAATATCAAAATGCATAACTGTTGGCATGGGAAGGGTCAGGGATAAACTGGTATGGAAATGTTTCAACGTGTGTTTCGCTTGAAAATGAAATGGTAACTGGAAAGTTTGAAACTGTTGGGATAGTGGCAAATTCAAATCTGTGTAGCGTAAGACAAAACAGTGAAGTAGCTTATGTACAGTGCTGCAAGCAGGAAGAAGAAATGGAGCAGTTATGTTATGGCTCAGTGGCCAACTCCACTGTAGGCTGCTGTAATATGGCTGTCAGTAGAGGGGCAACAAAAGCAGAGCCTCAACTGAGCTCTATTTAGTATGAAGTACATTGATTACATAAAAAATCAGGTTATGCTACCGTTGTGTTAAAAGAAGCAGATAGGGGTTGTTTTCAGTCCTAGAATTGTTGTAGAAAGACAGCCTTGTGTCTTCGTCTTCAACAAGGCCATGAGAGGGGCATGATGTGCATGAAAATGATCTCCACAGGCAGCTGGATCGAGGCGGGTCGGGGCTGCTGATTCTTCTAGACCTGTCAGCAGCCTTCGACATGGTCGATCACAAACTCCTGGACCACCGCCTTGCCGACGTGGGGATCCAGGGCACAGTCCTTCAATGGCTGCGCTCGTTTCTCTCTGGTCGGGGACAGAGGGTGGTGCTTGGGGGGGAATTGTCATTGCGCCACTCCTTGGTGTGTGGAGTGCCTCAGGGTTCTTTCCCTGATGCTTTTTAACATCTTTATGCGCCCCCTCGCCCAGCTTGTCCGGAGTTTTGGGCTGGGTTGCCATCAGTATGCCGATGACACCCAACTCTATCTGTTGATGGATGGCCATCCTGACTCGGCCCCAGACACACTTACCAGATGTCTGGAAGCTGTGGCTGGATGGTTACGTGGGAGCCGGTTGAAGTTAAATCCTTCGAAGACAGAGGTCCTCTGTCTGGGACGGGGCGATATGGGATTGAGGGGGCACCACCCATCTCTGGCAGGGGGGCACTTACTGCCAGCATCGTCCGTTAAGAGTTTGGGTGTAATCTTCGATACCTCCCTCTCTATGGAGGCGCAGATTACAGCTATAACAAAGGCAGCATTTTTTCATCTCCGCCAAGCTAAGCAGCTGGCTCCTTATCTCTCTCGCCCTGACCTAGCCACTGTGATCCACGTGACAGTCCAGCGGGTGCAGAATGCCGCGGCGAGACTCCTTATGGGGTCTTCGCTGCGAGATCACATTCATCCGGTACTATACCAGCTGCACTGGCTCCCGGTGGAGTACAGGATCAGGTTTAAGGTGC